AAGTGATCCAGGCTCCAACTTTATTGGGGTAAAACTAGGACTATTTATAGTGTAGAGACAGTAGAAGAAGCCTTAGCTGATAGGTACTTTTAGGATGCCTCATTTACATAGGGTGGTGGGCTTCTATCAGGCTATCAGACAACGCCTGATTAAAAACCTGGTATCTCCTGTGCCGGAGGGCATGTATTTTTGGCGAGCACTTTAAAAGAAGAGTCAGGGAGGATGCCAGGAAGGCACTCTGCTATGAAAGGAATCTGCAGCACATGGTTTCCGAGCTCGTGAGCTATCCAGACATGAAGAGATTTCTACTTTGCATAACAGAGGACCCCAGCAGCTATGAACCATCCTTAACTCTAGTTCCAGGGGAATTCAAAGCCCTCTTCTGACTTCCGTGGCATTGCACAACATGGGTGCACTCACATACATGCAGGCAATACACTCATACACATAAACTAAAAATAATAAAAAAATTTTTTAAAAAGATAAAAATTATTCTATTTAAGTTACATTTATTTGTATGTGTGTGTGTGTGTGTGTGTATGCATGCACACACACACAAGTGTGGAGGACAACTTGCAGGGGTCAGTTCTCTCCTTCCACCATTTGGGTCCCAGGGAAGGAACTCAGGTGGCACAGATTGGTAGCAAGCCCCTTTACTTGCTGAGCCCTCTCACCAGTCAACACCTGACTTTCTGTGGGTTTTCAGGATCTGAACTCAGGTCCCCACCCTTGCACACCAAGTGCTTTACCCATGATGCCATCTCCCAGCCCCTACTGTGAGGTGCTAAAAGGCTCCCATCCACAGAACACCAAGTCTTCCACAGAACCAGATAGCCCTAGAAATTCTCAGACATCAGTCAGTATCTTGTCGGAACAAAAATATACAAGCCTGGGGCTGGAGAGACAGCTCCGTGGTTAACAGTGGCTTGCTGCTCTTGTGGGGGACCCGATTTCAGTTCTCAGCACCTGCACTGGGCAACTCACAACAGCCTGTAACTCCAGCTCCCGGGGATCAGACACCCCTGTGGGTACTGCACTCTGGTGTGCATATACACTGCACACAAAGTTTTTTAAAATCCTTTTTCTTGGATTTTTTTGGGGGGGGGCAGGTTCTCCAGGCCACAGCTGGCCTGGATTCGCTATGGAGACCAGGCTGGCCTTGAACTCACAGGGATCCCCCTGCCTCTGCCTCCTGAATGCTGGGGCTAAAGGCGTGGGCCACCACGCCAGTTTAAAATAATTTAAAAAATATTTTATTATTTTTATTTTATGTGTATGCATGCATTGCCTGCATGTGCACCTGTGTCCTGCAATACCCTGGGAAGACAGAAGAGGCTGTCAGATCCCCTGGAACTGGAGTTATAGACATTCGTTTAGCTGCCATTTAAAAGCTAATCCCATTACCACTGATTTTAAAACATAAGCTGAGCTACTTTGTATGAGCAGTCAGTGGGTTTATGCAGCTGCTGGCCAACCTTACTTAGGTTGCATCTGAAAATCTGAAATGCTGGTTTGTGTCTGAACCAGCTGGGGGCAGTGGCTCATCAACATCAGAAATGAGCACAAAGACCCAGTCAAGATGGCCCCAAGGGCAGAGATGAACCACTCCACGGAGTTAAAACCCAGGATGCCAACGCCATGGAAACGCTGTAGACCCAGCTGGGGATGGGGGTGGGGGGTCAGAGCCAGGGGTCAGGCAGTTCTGCCTCTACCTACCATTTTAGCCAGTTGTTTTTTTCCCAGTGCGTGGCTCAGTGACGTGGCTGTGTGGCGGTCCCCACCATCTGTCTCCAGAAGCTTCCCTCTTCCCCACTGAGTCTCTCTCCCCATTCCACACCAACTCCACCCCCTCCCCAGCCCTCAGCACCCACACAAGTCCACTTCCTGTCTCTGTGGATCTGAAGGCTCTAGGGCCCACCTGGGAGTGGGAGACTGCCCGGTGACCCCTCCTGTGCCTGCTCATGTCACTGAGCACTGTGCATGCGGTCCCTGTGTCAGAATTCCCTGCATTTTCAAGGCTGTATAAATATGTACCATATTTTTTCAATAGCTAATGATGGGCATGTGGAGTTTCCCACCTTCTGGCTGACACACGTGGTGGCGCACACCTTCAATCCCAGCACTAGGGAGGCAGAGGCAGGCCGAGCTCTGTGAGTTCAAGGCCAGCATAGGGAGTTCCAGGATAGTTGGGGCTGCAGGGAGACCCTGTCTCAAAAAGACCAAAAAAACAAAACAAAACAAAAGAACAACACTGCTGCTGTGGATATGGGTGGACAGGCCGCTTTTAAGGCCCTGATTTTAATTCTTCAGGTCAAAATATTTAGAATACTTAGAAGAGGAAATTCTGGGTGGTCTGGTAGTTCTGTGTTTAATTTGTGGGAGTGTGTATGTACAAGTGTGTGTTCCTGTGCTCGAGTGTACTTGTGTGTGTCTGTGTCTGTGTGTGTCTCTGTGTCTGTGTGTGTGTGTCTATATCTGTATCTCTGTGTGTGTGTGTGTGTGTGTGTGTGTGTGTTGTATGCACGGGTATGTGGAGGCAGAGCAGCACCTCTATCGTTCTCTGTCTTGAGACACATTCTCTCACTGAACCTGCAGCTTGCGGTTTCAGCTGGGCTCTCTGGCCAGCCAGCTTCTGGGATCCACCCTTCTCTACCCACTAACTGCAGCCAGGTCTAGTGTTTTTGTTTTTTATTTGTTTTTTGTTTGTTTGTTTGGTCTTTTTGAGACAGGGTCTCCCTGTAGCCCCAGCTGGCCTGGAACTCACTATGTAGACCAGGCTGGCCTCAGTCTCCCGAAGACCTGCCTACCTCTGTCTCCTGAGTGCTGGGATTAAAGGCATGTGTCACCACTCTGGTTTCTTTTTTATTTTTTGAGACAGAGTCTCTCTCTGTGGCCCATGCTGTTTTGGAGCTTGAGATCATCCTGCCTCAGCTTCCTGAGTGCTGGGATTCTGGCTCTGTGGATCAATTCTTCTGAAAGACTGATTGAATGAATAGGAAGGAGGATGCCCTCACCCTGATCAGTGCCCTGGCTGCCTTCCAACACGCTTCATAGTACTGGCTGAAAGTCAGCATGTCCCACTTTTTGCCATTTTTTGAGGCCAGGGCTGGGTAAGCTCCAAACCCGTCGACAGACTCTTGAAACATCTCTGGGATGGTCATCAGAGTTTCATGGCCCGGCCTGTGTTTGGACAGCCTGAGGAGAACCTCTCCATCTCGATGGGTGGTCCACAGGCTGAGAGGAACTGAAACAGTCACCAGGGGTGGGTGGCAGTGCCGGGGATGGAACCTGAGGCTTTACACATGCCAGGCAAGCACTCGACACCCTTGAGCCCTGACCCTGGCCCTCACAGTGATTTTAATACATGTTGTAACAACACAGGCCTTGGTCTGAATAAGAAGCAGCTGGGCCTGGTGAGAGGCCTAGTGGGCTTGCCGCTAGACCCTTTGAGCTGAGTTTGAATCCCAGCCACATGATGAAAAGAGAGAACTGAGTCCTACAAGTTGTCCTATGACTTCCACATGTGTTTCATGGCATGTGTTCCCACATAAAAAATAAATAAGTGAAATTAAACTTTTTAAAAAGAAAAGCCAGTCAGGTGTCAGGAAGCCAACCTCGTTTACATATCAAGTTCCAGGCCATTTGGGACTGGAGGTAGACCTTGCCTCAAAAACACAAAAAAAGAAAAGAAAGAAAAGGAAAGAAAGAAATGAAGAAAGAAAACAGGAGCTGACGAGGCTGGTGAGCTGGCTCAGTGTTTAAGAACCCTGGCTGCTCTTGCAGAGGACCCAGGCTCAGTTCCCAGCACCCACATGGCAGCAACCAACTGTTACAGGGGATCCAATACTCTCTTCTGGCCTCCTCAGGCATTTCAAGCAAATGGTGCACACATACATGCAGGCAAAACACTCGTACACATAACATAAAAATAAATTTAAAAAAAAAATAAATAAATAAATAAATAAATAAATAAATAAATAAATAAATAAACCCACCAGGTGCCAGCTGTGTGCTAGATGGCCCAATCCAAACTGTCAACTACCTGCTATTTTGTACCCTTCCAGAAGGAATGCAACACCCCAGTGGGGCCAGGCCCGTGGCCAAGGTGACTTGTCCCCCTGAAGGACTGAGGTGGCCTGTCCCACGGCAGAACTGAGGCTTCCCATGTCTCTCTTGCACTCCCTGGTGGCCACAGACCTTGAATGATGGTCCCGTCTTTTTCAGAGTCCTCTGTCCTCTTTTCTTGAGCCATTTCGTGATCCAGGCTTTCCAGGGTCGTAAAAACCATTCTTCACACTACTGCAAGGCTAATAAAATAACCTAAAATAAGACAGAGAGCTTAGCTGGACCAGGAGAGAGGTTGGTGTCTATCCACTAGTGATGTCTGCCTAGAATTCTGGGATCACTTCATCATGCCTGTCCTGGACCTAGGAAGAGAGGAGATGATCTGTATGCTAGAGAACAGAGGGTGTCTAAGTTCAGAGGGTAGTCAAACTTCCCTTCCCTCTCCCTCTGCCTCTCTGTCTCTTTCTGCCCCCTTTCCTTTTCTTCCCTCCTTCTTTCCTCCTATCTTTCTTTCTTCCTTTCTTTTTTTTCTCCCCAAATTATTATTGGGCAGGTGAGAGGGTTCAACACATAAAGGTGCTTGTGGCCAAGACTAATGACCTGAGTCCAACCCTAGGATCCACATGGTGGAAGAAAAGAACTAACTTCTGCGAATTGTCCTGACCACCACACATACACCACAGCATATGCATGCACACACACAAATAGTAATAATAAATAATATTAATATTAATAAATTTAAAATTTTTTAGTCAGGCAGGGCTGGAGAGCTGGCTCAGTGGTTAAGAGCACTGGCTGCTCTTGCAGAGGACCCTGGTTTGGTTCTCAGCACCCACATGGCGGCTAACGACCATCTGTAACTACAGTTCCAGGGGATCTGACACCATCTTCTGGCCTCCATGGGCATTGCTGGCATGAGCGGACTTATATACATGCAGGAAAAATGCTCATATATAAAATAAAAATTAAATTTTTTTTTTGTCTTTTTGAGACAGGGTCTCACTGTAGCCCCAGCTGTCCTGGAACTAGCTATGTAGACCAGGCTGGCCTCAAATTCACAAAGATCTGCCTGCCTCTGCCTCTCAAGTGCTGGGATTACAGGCGTGTGCCACAACTCCCGGCCTAAAAACTAATTTTTTTTACTAAAAAGAAAAGAAAGAAAACAGCCTATTATAATTTTCACGGATCAGATGGAGATAAAAAAGGCTAGTACATTTGCTTTGGAAGCAGACTTAAGATTACCATCCCTAGTGGAGAAGGGAGTAGGATTCTGAGCTCCCCAAATGGGAAGTCACTTAAATAACTTTCAGACTGTGGTACGTCCTTTCAATGGAACTCAGCAACAGTGTTGAATCTCCAGAGCTAAAGGCAAACAGCCAGACTCAAAAGGCTTCACACTCCATGACCTCAGTTACGGGGCTTTCTAGAAACATCAACCACACACTGATGGAGAAGATCCTGGGTTGTCAGAAGCTGAGGCCGGAGATGTGGCTGATGATGGAAGAGGGACTGGAGAGGATTCTGGGAACAGTGGAAACTCATTGCATCTGAGGCTGGTTACCCAGCTACATGTGTTTGTCAAAACTCACAGAATGGCACACTAAAAATGTGAATTACAGAAGGCTGGGGAGATGTCTCAGTGGGTAAAGCAATTGCAGGATGGGCAAGAGGACCTGAATTCAGATCCCCAGCACCCACGTAAAGAGCCCGTCATGGTGTCCTGTGCCTGTAATTCTAGCTCTGGGGAGGTAGAGACAGGAGGACTCCTGGAGCTCACTGACCAGACAGCTTATCAATCAGCAAGCTCCTGGCTCAAGGAGAGACCCTGTCTCAAAATACAAGGTGGAGGGGGCTCGGTATAGTGGCACACATCTTTAATCCCAGCGCTTGGGAGGCAGAGGCAGGTGGATCTCTGAAATCGAGGCCAGTCTGGTCTACATAGTGAGTTCCAGGACAGCTGGGGTTACAGGAAGACCCTGTCTCAAACACACACACACTGAGTACAGTGTGGAGGTGAGTGGGGGAATGACAGCTGAGGTTGACCACTGGGCTCCACACACATGCACAAAAGTGGATGACAGATGTCCTTTGTATCCCAGACACATTGATTCTAGGAGGGTTGGGCACCATAGTGCCACTGTACAGGTGGGGGTCAGCCTCAGGTGTCAGTCCTTGCTAAGATGAGGTCTCTGTTGTTTGCTACTGTGTATAGCAGGTTAACTCCTGGGGATTGTCCCCTTTCACTGTAGGATGGTTGGGGGTCACAGATGTGCAATACCGAGTCAGAATTCAAACTCAGGTCCTCTCATTGTTGTGACAAACAAGAGGATCAGGGGTTCAAGGTCTACATGAGGAGTCTACCACTATCCTGGGCTACAAGAAACCCTGTTTCAAAAAAGAAAAAACAAAATCAAGGCTGTCCCTAAGCATGGAACTGTGTTCTGAAATGACTGCACGTCCCTGCTCAGGGACTCAGTGCAGGAACCTCACCAAGTTCGTCACTCTTCACAAGGAGCAGCTCCGGCCGAGGCCGGGCATGAGGCACTCAGCCATCTGGTCACTGGGGTCCTTTCTCCTTCTGCAAGCTGATTAGCAGGTCGCCCATCCCAGGAGCCCGAGTGTGCTGGCCCTTCCTGGCCCAGGTCACTCCCTCGATTTGGCCAGGGTGGTGGTGGTGGAGGGAGGCATGAAGGCCAGTGTCTTCCCTGCCCTACAGAACTTTTACCCCATTTACACTTCTGGAAACTTCCATTCAGGCTGATCCTTGTGCCATCACTGGCAGGCCTGCCCACCCTACCTGGCTTCTGGATGAAAGTACTCCCAGGAAAGGGAGACCACAGGCTGTCTCCCAGCTTGTTCACCCATGCCAGTATCATCCATTCACCCACTCGTGAATGCATTGATAGGAGATTGTGAGGCAGTGAGGCAGCCTAGTATTTCACAAACACATTGAAAGCTTCCTCTGTGGTCAGTGGGCAGAGAGCTCACCTGCCATGCACAAGAGCCTGGGTTTGATTCCCCAGCTCACAGCTGACATCCAGCACTTGAGAAGTGGAGGCAGGAGGATCAGGAGTTCAGGCTACACAGCAAGTCTGAGGCTAGCCTAGGCTACATGAGACCTGCCTCCCTCTCACAGACACACAGGCCCCCACTGTGGAGAGAGACCCTGTGTTCAAACACTCCTGACCCATTGCCCGCTGCACTGCCCTGTTTCCTAAACACATGTGTACAACAGGCCCTTCTCCATGACACACAACTCATACAACCTCACACGTGTTAACATGCAATCACACATACTCCCACGTGTGTGCAAGGAGCCCTGTCTGTGCATGTTCCAGTAAGGTGGGAAAATTCATCCACCTCCAGGCATGATGGCACATGCCTGTCATCCCAAGTGGAGGCAGGAAGATGTGGAGTTCAAGGTCATCCTTGGCTACATCCTAAGGCTAGCCTGGGCTACATGAGACCCAGTCTCAAACAACAAAAGATATACATTCACTCTGCACAACTTCTATTACCATCCCTTTCCAGAACTTTCCATCTCATCACACTGAAGCTCTGAACCTGTCCAACACTGATTTCAGCCCCTGGCCCACAGCATCCCATCTCCGGTCTGTAATTGGGGCCCTACAGCATGTGTTCCTCTGTGCTGGGCATGTTTCACTGGATAGCATGTCATTGAGGCCCCTCTGTGTGGGAGCAGGTGTCCAAATGTCTTTTTGTAGACCCAGGGTCCCACTGCCTCCTTCTGGGTCTCACATCTCCTCTTTCTTCAATGGAGAGAGACAGGACTCTGAGGTTGCATCTGCCCATCCCATCTGTCAGTGGTTTGGGCACATGTCCAGGAGGGGAACCCAGGATCACACAGCTATTCTACATTATTATTATTATTATTATTATTATTATTATTATTATTATTGGACAGGTTTCCCTGTAGCCCCAGCTAGCCTGGAACTTGCTATGTAGCCCAGGCTGGCCTCAATCTCACAGGGCTGCCTCTGCTTCCTGAGTGCTGGGATTAAAAGTGTGCACTACCATGGTGAGCTGGTTCTTTTCATTATTTATTATTCTTTTGGCACCCCAGTCTCATGTGGCCTGTGCTGCCCTTGTG